ACTGAAGCAATATAAAAATGACTCCCATTAACTGAGTTTTAAACATCAGCATATCCGGTCATAGTCCGGTAATTACCTGCTAACGGAAACTCTGCTACACAATTCTTATTCGTATTATTATTATTATTGAAAAATGACTGGTAAGTTTCAAATTTGTCCGGTAAAATAAATTATTTTCCGGACATTTGACAGGCAAGAAAAAATCCTAGCGGAAACCCTGGTTTATAAATGTTTAACTTTTGACCAGTATCTGAACAGATATGAGGAGCTGTGAGCTAACGGCTGATGTTTTGGGACATGACCAATCACGAAGCATCATTTCTTGACTGGCAGCAAAAACAACCAATCACAGCAGTGCTTCTCTGGCTGGCTCCGTCCAAAGGAATACCCTTTCCGTAAAAGTTGAAATGTTGTTTTGTGAAATGCTGTGGTGTTTTCTGAAATGCTGAACCTTTTTGTGAAATGCTGTAGCGTTTTGTGAAATGATGTAGTGTTTTCTGAAATGTTGAAGTGTTTTCTGAAATGTTGAAGCGTTTTCTGAAATGCGGTAGTGTTTTCTGAAATGCTGTAGCGTTTTGTGAAAGGCTGTAGTGTTTTGTGAAATGTTTAAGTGTTTTATGAAATGTTTAAGTATTTTCTGAAATGCTGAAGTGTTTTATGAAATGTTGAAGCGTTTTCTGAAATGCTGAAGTTTTTTCTGAAATGCTGTAGCGTTTTTTGAAAGGCTATAGTGTTTTCTGAAATATTGAAGTGTTTTATGAAATGTTGAAGCGTTGAAGCGTTTTCTGAAAGGCTGTAGTGTTTTCTGAAATGCTGTAGCGTTTTGTGAAATGCTGTAGCATTTTGTGAAATGTTGAAGTGTTTTTTGAAATGCTGTAGCGTTTTGTGAAATGCTGTGTTATTTTCTGAAATGATGTAGTGTTTTCTGAAATGCTGTGGTGTTTTCTGAAATGTTGAAGCGTTTTCTGAAATGCTGTAGTGTTTTCTGAAATACTGTAGCGTTTTGTGAAAGGCTGTAGCGTTTTGTGAAATGTTGAAGTGTTTTATGAAATACTGTGGTATTTTCTGAAATGCTGTAGTGTTTTCTGAAATGCTGTAGCGTTTTGTGAAAGGCTGTAGTGTTTTGTGAAAGGTTAAAGCATTGAAGCGATTTCTGAAAGGCTGTAGTGTTTTCTTAAATTTTGTAGCGTTTTGTGAAATGCTGTAGCGTTTTGTGAAATTTTGAAGTGTTTTGTGAAATGCTGTGGTGTTTTGTGAAATGCTGTAGCGTTTTGTGAAATGTTGAAGTGTTTTGTGAAATGCTGTGGTCTTTTCTGAAATGATGTAGCGTTTTCTGAAATGCTGTGGTATTTTCTGAAATATTGAAGTGCTTTCTGAAATGCTGTAGTGTTTTCTGAAATGTTGAATTGTTTTATGTGATCTTGAAGCGTTTGGCAAATGCTGTAGTGTTTTGTGAAAGGCTGTAGCGTTTTGGGAAATGTTGAAGTGTTTTATGAAATGCTGTAGTATTTTATGAAATGTTGAAGCGTTTTATGAAATGCTATGCGTTTTATGAAATGCTGTAGCATTTTGTGAAATGCTGTAGTGTTTTATGAAATGCTGTGGTGTTTTCTGAAATGCTGTAGCATTTTGTGAAATGTTTAAGTGTTTTATGAAATGCTGTGCATTTTCTGAAACGCTGTAGCATTTTGTGAAATGCTGTAGTGTTTTCTGAAATGCTGTGGTGTTTTCTGAAATGCTATAGCGTTTTGTGAAATGTTGAAGTGTTTTGTGAAATGTTGAAGTGTTTTGTGAAATGTTGAAGTGTTTTATGAAATGCTGTGGTGTTTTCTGAAATGCTATAGAATTTTGTGAAATGCTGTAGTGTTTTGTGAAATGTTGTTTTGACTTGCACTTCAGGGCCACCGTACCTTTGTTCATATATTTCAGAAAAAGTTAGTTCAAAAAGGCACGTGTCAATTATTTTGCCAAAAGAAACCCTGTACTGTCTCTGCATCAGCCGGTAGGAAGTAGGAAGAATGAATAATACAGGTTTTGTAAATGTCATCAATTAGTAGAACCCATGGTTTACTGAGGAAATGGTAAGAGAGCTTGTTCTTGTGAAAATTGATGTAAAGTGTCTCACTGCACACACTGTACAGCGTCCTGACACATTTCCAAACCCACAGGCACAGTCAGAAAGCATAAAAGCCACACACTCTTTGTTCCATCTCCTTCAATTAAAGTTGGCTTAACTACTTGCCTAATCCAAGAACCCTCGGTGAGAAACCATTACAGAGGAGACACTGAACACAGCAAATAAACACATTACACAGCACTGCTCTCAAAAACTCACAGAGCAAGCGTCGCTTTTCATACAGGCGAAAAAGGAAAGATTTCGAAAAAGCTGTACCTTTGCTTTTAGCTAGAAGAGGAGGAGGAGGCAGGAGAGAACAGAGGATCCACGGCGAGAGAGCCCAGGCAGGGAAGAAGAAGAGGAGATGTAAGTCCAAATACACCAAACGTTTCAATGTATATATTATTACATGTCATGAAGAAAAATGCATGTACGACTGTAATGCAACTGACCACCAAACACCTTATACATCTGCATCAGGCATTACAGAATCTTTGAATGAAACAACAAGGCTGCCCTACGAAGGCCCCGAGCTCTACACAGAGTGTTAACATTTAATCACTTTAACGCTGAACTAATATCACGTCTACTCTAGCTTGGGGGAAAAACGATATGGGCTGTTTATCAGTCAGTGATGTGTCAGAGCGTCAGTCTGGAGTTTTCATCGAAATATGAATTTGACAGTCGCTTCATAGAGCATCTTTTTCAAAGTAGAGGAAAATTGCTTCAATTAATTTTTTTACTATGAAAGAACATCACAGTTATGCATAGCAGAGTAAATGTTGATTATTACTTTTAATATTAAATCATGGATTAAAAAAAAAAAACTGGAGACCAATATGTAGTTTAATTGCTATTTTTTTTTCTGTTGTCTCCTTTTGAGTACAGTATTTGAGTAAAGGTACTTTGTTACTCTCCAACACTGTCAGAGGATGAAAAGTGTTCCTCTTGCTGCAGACCACCGGAACGTTTTGGGATGATTAGTTTCAAATATTTGTACTTGTTGTGGAAAGTGTTTACCAGATTACACATTTACAAATGGATTGATGATCTTTTCACACAAGAGATAATCCTCCATACCTTCTTTTTATGAGGATAATATATTCATGGCTTTGTAGGGCAGTCAAGTTAAATATTAAAATCCCAATGTATGTAAACCATGCATTTTCACAATCCACACCAGAGCATCCAGCTCGACACTGCAAAAAAACAGAAGATGGAAGGAGGCATACCTTGTTCCGCCATCATATGTGCGAGGCCTTGAGAGGTGGAACGAGGGATAAAGAGAGGGAAGGGGGAGAAAGACAGAGAACACTTAAGAAAGAGCACACTAAGTTTCAATACTCTGTGGTATTGTGATGATACATGTTTTTCACAGGAGGCAAAGCATGGCATCAGAACAGGTCACACAGAGCTTTCTTCAGTAGAAACACCAGCATGTTAGTACAAGTGATATTTAGCCTCCTTTCTTTCTTGAGTTCAATAACAGAGCTCACATTTTCTGACCTGCTGCAGGGATTTAAATCTGCAATACCTTATAAATCAATATATATATTGTAACATAAATGTTGCTTGCCTAAGGTGGGCAAGCATAATTTAAAAAAGGGCAAAGGTAACAGACATACTGAAAAATCAAGATGTATAAAGCCACTAAACATTCTGTCAAGCTTCCCATAAGGAAAGGAAGCATGAGATCTTAGTCGCCTTTACAATGAATACAGCAACAGTTGTTTCTCATCTGTTTTCTACTGTTTTCAGGTATGACTGGCACACTTTTAATTACATCATCACTTTGCTTCTTGTTCTACCCAATAGTAAGATACTGGCAAATAATTGCAGTATCATTTGTTACGTTAAAAAATGTATAGTTAAGCGCCCTTCTTTCAGGCAACAGCTGTTTACATGCAATTGCTCATTTCAGAAAACAAACTGATAACAGCTAAGTCTCAGTGCATCTTATATACCTGAAATGAATTATTTTAAGCTGGTAAGATTGGAAGTTGCCTCAAAGAGCAGAATCACTGGGTTTTATTGCATATATGAAAACTGCAGCTACACAAACAATTGATATGGTGTCATGTGTTTAACGTTTTTTCATTTAAACTCACCTGGCATATTGTTGTTGACCTCTGGAATACAGGGAGACAGAGAAAATAAGCACACAAAGCCAGCATTAGAAACACTCTTATTACTTGCATGTTGATTATCATGCAAAAATAAAATACACATAATAGTCCATACAGAGGGCTGGCAGTGGGCACAGCCATGTGTATTTTATTCACAATGCAGAAGGTTTCAGCCATGAGCGTGAAAGCTTCAGCAGTCTGGAACTGCCATTCACTTCCATTTGGTGACATTCAGAGAGACTTATATCCATGTATTAAAACACTGAAGACACACACTTTCATTAGGCCTACATTTGATCATTTTTATCAGGTTCTGGTTATAAATGATAGACATAAAACAAAAAAGCAACAAAACCCAAAACACTGTGTAAGGGACTGAACAAACAAAAGAAGAACAGAATAAAGTGCCTGAGTTCCTGTTCACAGTGGCTGAAATGATGTCCAAAGTGATAGATCAAACACCATGCTGATAATTGAGTTGTTGCAGCCATGGGGGCCCTAACACTAGATCCTGGATCAGCCTGGAAACAATGAATAGCAGCAAAACTTTTTGAAATATGACTGACCATTTTTTAAGCTTTTATTTTAGAATAAAGTGGTTGTCAAGTCGACATTTTGATTAAGGTTGGGTGACAGATAAACAGTCCGATATCAAAAAAATATCACCGCCTGAACGGTGCTGCAGAAAAACACTCAGTCAAACAACATCAAGTGGGCTGTCTTGACAGGTCAATACCCCCCTGAGAGGGCCGCCCATCTGCCAGTGTGCCCGCAGGACACATTTAAATGATGGTATCATTTTGATCTATTCCCACTTTATTTTAAGTCAAGGACTGACTTATATTTAGGTCAGTAATCTACCCCTTTTTTAAATTTTAATACAATATAGAGAGGATAATAGCAAATAACATATGACTAATCATCTACACATAGTTATCTAATAATGACATGCTGGAATTATTGGATAATTGAAAGGTCGATGTAAAAGAAAAATGATTGCTTATGACATAATTGAGCTCATGTACAAAATGGGTAAGATCATTGACCTATGGTGGTTACAGTTAATATATACAGTAGGCCATCCCTTGTTCCTGACTCTGTTCAAAAGTCAGGAACATATTCTGCAGAGGCAATAATGTTTCACTGGGGATACATTATTGAGCACAGTTGATATGAATACTACATTTCATTTTGCCACTGGACTTTTAATGGCCTTTAATCAATAAAGATGAATATTGTGTGTGTGTGTGTGTGTGTGTGTGTGTGTGTGTGTGTGTGTGTGTGTGTGTGTGTGTGTGTGTGTGTGTGTGTGTGTGTGTGTGTGTGTCGAAAGACAGAGATAGAAACTTGCGAACATATACATATTTAATAATGTATCAATCAACACACTAATCAAATACTCATAGTTAGAACTGGCAGGATTCAGCTCGATACAATTACATCAGGGAGCTCACAACTATGTGTTTCTGTCCTGAACCAAACCAATCTATATCCTCCAGCTCCCCTTGAAAATTGATTCCCGAAAAGAAATCCAAGCAGACCATCATTCTTTGGGTTAACTCACCTGCATTTAGAAAACTGTATGTATTCATCGTTGGACACATCATCTAAGTGAGAGTGTGACTCTCTTTTAATTCAATACCTAAAAGGTGGCGGAGGACAGCGAGGGATTACAGCTCAACGTGGATTACTTAAAGGGATGATTCATCATGTGTTGGATGAAGTGGGAGTGCAGTGATCAATGAACAATTTCTAAATATTCTCTCTTTCATTAGTGCTGGCTTAGCCGATTGTTTCCTGCACGTCATTAACATGGAAGGTAAATCAGCAAATGGAAGGTGTGTGTAGTACACACACAATCCCCTCAGGATAAAAGCCTTAGTCCATACGGGGCTGAGGGCTCTATTATAACTGTTTTTATCATCAATATTGTAACAACCATAATCTCCTCACGGACCGCTTCCACCAGCAGCCATGTTTCATGTATGAACATTAGGGAGCTCCGGGGGGCTCCTGAAGCCATCTGCTCTGTAGAGTCAAAGGCCTGGGACTGGACTGGTGACAGCATCACGGCACTGACACTTGATAGACAGGGGAATACAAATCCAGAGATTTTCTGGAGGTAGTTTCTGTGTTAGTACAACTCTTCCTGAGCCTCTCATGGTGGTTCCAGTTCCTTCTTTCTGACCTTAGCTGGGAGAATTGCCGACATTTGGCTGTTGACCTGACACAACATAGTGGGTATTTGATAGGCTGACTGCAGTATTTGCAGACTTTATTTATGTATTTATTTTTATTTTTAGTTCAACATATCTGTCCACCACAATAAAAAAAGGCAAGTTGTTTATTGTTAAGTGACAAAGCACTATAGTGGCCATGTGAATACAGACGTTGTTCAGCAAGGGACAAAGAGTAAATAGTGACATGTTTTTATGGAAGCAGAAAGTTTTGGAGGATGGATTAACATCATCATCTTTCATCATGACAACCGCAAGGTAAACAGTGCAAAATGTCGTTAACATTATAAAGAACGTAACCTGCACTGGCATTAATTTGATTTGCTGATGCAGTGTATTGCTTGATTATTTTACATTGTCCTTAAACTATTTGCATCCATACCCTCCATTCCAATGCCTGAGAGGGCCCAGTTTTTTTCATGCAGGGCCCAATGTGGAGTGAATACAGCCTAATGTTTCCTCTTTGAGTAAGTATTTCATTTGAAGCATCTGTGTCACAAGTTAGACACTTCTATTATTGTTTGTTTGGTTTGGCTCATCTAAACTCTCCTGTCATTTCAGATCCCGCCTTCCTCCAGGCCCTTGTAATCAGCTCACTTCCCTCACCTGGTCTCCCCAGCCCTTCCCCTCACCTGTTACTCATTCCTTCATCACTCCACAGTATTTATACCACCTCACTATCACTTGTCCTTTGCCAGATTGTCTTGTCTTTTCCGCCAAGCTCTCCAGTGAGTGTTGGTCTCTAGCCTAGATTTTTGTCCTGCCCGGTTTTTGATCCCTGACTGCCTGTTTACGGACCTCGAGTTCTAGCCTGCTCCCTGTCTGGTTTTGGTTGCCTGTCTGAAGGATTTCCTGGTTTTGACCCTGCCTGTCCTGACCTGAATAAACTGAACATTGCAAAACACTGGTTGTATCTGAGTCGTGCTATTGGGTTCTGATCTGTACCTGTGATCGTGACAATCAGCTGGAAGGGCTGAGTTTGTTTAGAGGTGAATTAATTACTGAATGAAAGAGTGAAGGCAGTAGAGTTGTGGATGAGTGACTGATAGAAATGTGCTGTAAAGGTAATTCTATGTTTTACTTTGAGAGTCATTTTATGTACAGTATCTCCCATTCTCCCATTCTATCAGGTTCAGGTTTTGTTTTAAGCCATGATTTGTTCTTTCCTTGTTAAAAAAGGTAGAGCAAGGGTTCAAAATGAAGGCAATCCACCAATCTGTATCAGCAAGCCTCATTAAGCACATAATCTATCCCTTAACAATCAGCAAAGCAGATCCTCTCAGGGCTGCTGGAGTTCCAGGCTTCCACTAACCGAACAGTGCCGGGCAGGAGGCAGAGAGAGAGGAGAGCCTGACGTAAATCAACTCTGGGAACACATTCCTACGTGAGTGCTCTCCATCAAGGTGGGGAAAGGCAGCCTATCAACCTACAAGGGTCACCAACACGCCTGCATCACAGCGCCGAGGAGGGAGGAGTGTGTGTGGGAGTTTTAGGTAGAAAACTTTGTGAGGAAGAAGAAGTCACATGTAGAGCAGATCTTAATGTGGTGGAGGAAAACATTTTTATTTAAAATGTTTGTATTTAGAACAATCATGGTACACTGTCGAAAGCTGGGGACATTTTGCTCGGTATATTGGTGGTCATGTGAGGATGATGCCTAATGATCTAGGGCAGTGTTTCCCAACCTGGGGGGTGCCAAAGATTGCAGGGGGGGCGCCAGGCCTCAGATGATTTGAGGCCAAATATCATATTTAGATTTTCTTTTTTACATTTTTTTTTTTTTACATATAATTGTAAGGCAATACATGATTGTCACTAAAAGCCTTGTCTCTACATTACAATAAAATATACAAAATAATTGATTAATTAATTTTAATAAAAATTCAAGGTAGTAGCTATTATAGGCATAAAAAGACAGAAATGTATAATTAGTTCTTTAATAGAAATGTTTCTTCTGCCTGTAAAGTGTCCAAACCGGGCTTTTCTGGATAAGCACATTTTTAAAACATAGTCATTGTCCATGCCGGTTTCAGATTATTTGTCACAGTTGCTCCGATCAGATTGGTCTCCTCAATTTTGTAGAATATTTACGACTTTTGAATCCACATAAACACATCGGCCAAACACCTTTGGCTGCGTCCCGGGGACTTGGCATCGGCCCAAATGAGATGTAAATTACATATTTGTGCCAGGTTAAAAAAGAAAGTCGAAGATGCTGGGAATAAATAGCTAAACAAATATATTTAAACAAATGACCTCTGATCTGAGTTAATTAAATGGAAAAGACGACTCTCTCATCTAAATTGTATTGATTATCTCATAAGGAGTGAGGTAATTGTCTACTCTTCAGCTGCTGGTTTGGAAAGGCTGAAGAATGTGTATTGATTGTGAATAACTAAGAAGATAACAGTTTTTTTAACGCACAGATAACGAGCAGATGGATTCCTGCTCCCTTTCCATGTGCAGACTACATGTTCACCAATCACCACCACAAAACAGCCATTATCACTGTTCTGTGCTCAGGATTCATTATTATTATTAAAGCAAGTGAAAGCGCATTTCATTTGGCCAGCAGAGAGGAAGGCTGGGGGAAATGAGTAAAGGGATTTATTTTAATCTAAATCAATTTTGGTCTCAGTAAAGCCGGCTGCAGAGTGATTGAAACACTGCTCTAGCAAAATTCTCAGCACAAAAGGATGCGATACAAAACACCTGCCATCTTGTGATTTGGTGAAGAAAGGGGCCCAGGAGGCCCCATTCTCTCTATAGGCATCCTTATCACTGCCTGCAGGACCCATGCTATTAACCTGTGCTTCACTGGCAAACTGTGCTTAGATAAGCTTTCTGATTTTACAGCTAAGACACACACACACACACACACACACACACACACACACACACACACACACACACACATGATTATATATGCTGCACACACACAACACACACACACACACACACACACACACACACACACACACACACACACACACACACACACACACACACACACACCGGGATAATAGTAATCATTGTGAGAGCCAATCAGGCCCACAGAGTGCGCAACCTCACAGCTCATGATAGACGGGTAATATGAGAAACGATGGTGAGACTAGAGAGATCAAATGTTGAGTAATGTGGAGAACACTGAAAGGTGAAGATGTTAATGATGTTTGTCTTTAACATCTCTGTAGGGTAACTTGACAAAGTGATTGACACTGGACAAGTTCAAATCAGATGAATTACTGTACTACAACAACAACAACAACAACAACAACTAAATGGGTTTTCATCCAAGCGTGACTGGTGCAGCTCTCCAAATGTGAACTAACACTCAATGAAGCAAGCTCTTCTTTTTGATTTTGCTTTAACTGGCTTTGTAATCTCTGAATCATTGGCCACATCTCTAATTTGTTCAGCCTCTCAAATCAAGCCTCTAGGAAGGCAATTTTGGCATAATGCCCACAGATGAAATTGCAACGATTAAAAGTTTAAAATGGAAAACAAAAATAAATGTAGCTAAATTCAAATTTAAAGTAAATGAGTGTGTTTCATAGTTGGAGTGCTGCCAGGGGGAATGAGAGCTGGGTCAGACTTTAAAGTTACCTTCACTGCAGAAGCGGCCCCTGTATTCGGTTTTGGAGCAGTCACATACAGGCTCCCCATCCACCACTGAGCATGTGCCGCCATTCTCACACGGGTTCACCGTGCACCACCCCTCCGACTCCAGGGGCACCTTAAGGCTTCCCAGGAACAGGGGCTGTGAAATGCCATATTTGAGGTCTGTTATTGTGCCCCTGAAGGGCTGCATGTTTCGCACCGTAGGCAGTGTGAGCGCACCGTTGCGGATATCCTGAGGCACTCCACCCAGGAACAGATCACTGACTATCTTCATGAACACACGCTGAGGCCGCACCTCGTCTGCTTTGGCCTGGCCGTCCAGGACCAGCACTGTGCGCAGGTTATACCTGCTCAGAGAGGCGAAGTGCCAGCTGCCGTCGTCCACCCGTCTGTTGGCCACTACTGTGGTCTCGGCACAGTCGATGCTGAATCCCAGCTGCAGCCTGCCCTCCACCACCGACAGCTGCAGATAGTCACAGTAGCCTCCATCGTCAAAGTACAGCAGCAGCGCCTCCGAAGCCTCCATCTTAAACTGGAAGCTGAGGTCACCACGGGTGCTGGCATCCCAGCGGAGGTAGCGTGCCCACTGACCTTGTGTGCCTAAAAATTCCAGTCCCAAACATGTGCTGAGAAACACCTGCAGCCGGATAGAAAACCCTACGAGACCCATTGCTGCAGAGAAAGTATTAATCCAAGAAGATGTCTGAAGGGGGTGCAGTCAGATTGAAATCTTCGGATGGTTCCACAGGTTCATTCACAATATGTGCAGATATATATTCTGATAAATATTTCTTACAAAAATACGTTTTAAAAGGGGAAAGGGCAGTAGCAGGTGAACAGTCGTTGTGGTTAACAGTCTTAGGTTTACATCAGTAAATTGTCTGGTAGTTGCAAGGCAGTGGTCATATGGAGGAATAGTTGGTGTTCTCCTTAGAGTTGATGATTTTATTACTAGTAATCGTTTTTTATGTTTTAGGACAGATGTAATCAAAACTCATGGTGTAAGGTTTGATGGAAAGGACCTTTATGGATAACAGGGCAGGTGGAAGTTCCCCCTTGATGTTGTCTGGTAGGATCCACTGTCCTCTTCTGGTTCCATCACTGTCAGAAAAAGAGAGGCAGAGCGTTACAACAGGTCATTCAGCACTAAGAGCACAACACACATCTTAGGTGTATTTTGCATCTATCTTATAAAAAGAGCACATTTTATGTATGTATTCAATCTTAAGACGTTACTTTACAAAAAGGTGCTCTGAGAGAAGAAAAAGCTTCAGCAGCTACATTAATACAAATCATCAATGGTATAGGTACATGGTATAAGTACAAGTAAAGGTACTTTAGTTAAGAAAATATGCTAATACTATTAATGATGATATCATGTATTGAACTATGCGTTATTTTACTAGTAGCAGGTTGTTGGGTACAGCTGAACTGTTAGGCTCACCCTTACCTTTCACATGGTCACATTGTGTTTGCTGTCATTTGAAGGTCTGAATAAAAATATTGTCTATAGCTGACTGAGGCTAGAATGTTGTATTTTATAGTACATGGGATTTATTGTAGTTTTTTATTATGGTATTGAATTGTTCTCAAGAATCATGAAATTGTATTGGTTTGGTATCAACTGCTACATTTCTGAGAGGGGTCTGCCTGCAGGCCTCCACTCTCAGGACAGTTCCAGTGCAGGCTCCACTGTCAGGACACCTCCACTCTCAGTAAAGGAAGTGTCGATTCTGACGAACAAGTTTTTTTCCCCGCCTCCCGAAGGACTCGTCTGATGGAAGTTTTCAAATCACAATGGAGACTCATCACGAAGGTGATGAGTCCGCTCACCATGCACTTTGGGACAGCCTTGGTCAAGCCCTTTTGACCCCCCCAGCCTGGTTCTCGTAAAAGTTGACTTTTTTCGCTCAAATGACACCATGGAGGAATGTAACGGGAGTTGACAGGGGACTCTGCCCGCCTCATGAGTGCTTATTTTCGGACACTTTTTTTCACTTTCCCCCCTATTTTCCCCGGTTTTATTATTTTTTAGGCTATTTCACCAGATTTCTACCGGGGAC